GTGGAGACGCACTCTATCTAGCAATAGGACAAGAAGTAATAAACTTCAGTTGCACGAGAGTTCAGGTTAGATATTAGAAACAATTTCTTCTCCAAAAGAGTGATGATGCACTGGCACAAGCTGCCCACGGAGGTGATGGAGTCACCTCACACTTGAACACTGCAGGTGTTCAAGAACCATGGAGATGTGGCACTTAGGGATGCGGTCAGTGGGTACGGTGAGGGTGGGTTCATGGTTGGGCATGGTTGTCTTAGAGATCTTTTTCAGCCATAATGGTCCTATGATTCTATGATGCACCCCAACACAGTGATGCCATGCCAAAAACACAATACCTTCACAAGACGCCTTGGTTTCTTTTCCTGTGTCAGAAGCTGTGAAGTAGTGCATAGGACTGAACTGTTTTGCTCAAGCAGTGCTGTATCTTTGACTGCAGATTGATAGCAGGAGCAAAGCCTCCAGTGCAAAGCATGGGGGAGGGAAAATCCACGTACCTTCTGGGTGGTTTCAGTGGCATTAGGTTACAATGACTTCCAAATGGTATCACTACAGCTTACAAAGAGCACTAAGGAAAATGATCACCTGCACATTACTAGAGAAATGTCCCAGCTGTTAGAATTCCAAGCTAAGTTTTACTAGAGTGAATTTATGACTGCTTATTATTTAACTTAGCCTAGGATCATAATTAAAGATGGTACTCTAAGGCGAATTCCCACTGATGGGAAACAGCATCATTTGAGACTCCAGCAAAGAGTAATCAGACACCTTTGGGGAAGTAATCAGGCATCTGTGAAAGAAAACTCTGATGTCAAGAGCCCCTCACATGGGATGCTTGTTTAAGTGTTGGGAGGCTTGCAGCACGTTTAATGAGACAGAAAGGTTAAAGGTTTTTTTCTTACAGATTTAAAAAACATAAAGAGAAGAACCAACATTTGATGGTCCTAATTAGCAGCAAAATAAAATGGGCAAATATTGTTGCACATGGGGTACACCCTGAAACAAGGAAATGAAACACCTTTTTCTCCTGAGCTTCCCTACCTCCATCTAACTGAAGCAGGTAAGGTTTTGTAAATATCTAATATCTCTCTCCTTCATGGGACAACGTAAGAGAGTACAAAAGAATATGCAGGATCAGGTCCTTGAACAGGACAGACTTTTATGTAAGAACTCTGCCCACCAAGGGCGATGTACACCATGAACCTGACAAATAATTAGCAGTAACTGTCTGAAGGCTGCCTATGAAAAGCCATGAACACAATTCATGAAAGATACAATTCTGAGCCACAGAGGATGGAACTGATAAGAAAGGAGAAAATTTTAACAGAGATATTTATTTGCAAAACTTCAAGCACTGCCACTGGCTGTTATTCACAGTATCTGGTGAATATTTTACAAATACACTCATGGTTTAGTATGTCTGTACAGAGAACCTCAAAATTTGCAAGACTTTATATTAAACGACAGTGTAACACTGGTGAGTCCTCTGGTATGATGGTTTATTATCTATCCACCAGCTGTTATTTTTATATAGCTGTACTGTGTATTTCTTGAATGGTGTATTTCAGAAATATTATATTTAAAGGCAGTCTGTATGGTTTCTTAAAACAGCTCTAGGGTCAACTTCAGAATTAAGTTCAGTTCACAGGCTCTGATTTAGCAGAGATCTTATGTGCAGGCTTTTAGCTCAGGCATACGAGAACTTCTTTAAATTGCCTTTTGCGAACAGGAGGAAGGAATGAGATAACAGAACCAAAGAAAGCTCTTCCTACTAAAAACTAACACTAAAGGAAAGCTGGAGTTCCCATCGTCAGCCGAAAAATTAGTCCTCTACACTGTTCCAAGTTAACTACAATATTTTTGCCATCTTATATTCTGGTTGTTGTAAATAGTGCCATCTCCCTTTAATGCCTCTTTAAAATTAAATAATAAGAGGAAAAGGAGAGTAACAACAAAAGAAAAGATGCAACATTCACATTTAGCTAATAGACTGGACCCAAACTCATTGGAGCCTGTTCTGTGACCTGAGATGGCTTTGATAGCGAGGAAAAAACATTCCCATTTGCTGCCAAAGTGTTCAGGATCCCACATTTATCAATGGACAACTGCAAAGCCTCACTGCTCTGCACTGATCTGAAGCTCACTATTCACTAGGGAATTCTGAAAATTATTCTGAACATTATGCAAATTGTTCTGGGCACATTTTCCTCCAAACTAAGAAAGGCTTACATAACAAACACTATACTGTTTTCTAGATTAGCTCTACTGCCCACAGACTTAATAGTGTGTGACAGAAGAAACAAATTGCAAAAATGCACACCGACAAACAAATCCACACTTCCCCTCCAGAGCTGAAGACCATCACAAACCATACTACCTTGCAGGAAGTAAAAGACACATTTTCATGACCTTGTCCTCTTCTACAACATACAAACTTAAGCCCAGGAGAGTATACAGGAGGTAACGCGACAGCCATTGGTCACATTGCTGAACACAATGTGGAAAACATTGAGACACAACTGTGAGGTGTGCAGAAGATTCTGCATAAAATAAATTTGTTATGCTAACCCCACGCTCTTATATTTGTATGCTAGACTGTCTGGCTGAGCAGCACTCTGTATTCAGCTTCTCAGTACTTTTGCATGAATGACATTGTATAAAGAGGTACTGTATTTACTAGCTGAATAAACAATAGGTTTTGCTTTCACTCAAGTATTATGACTTCAACTCATTTTATTTATATGTCAGTAGTTCAGAATGTGCAGTGGTCCAGGCACATCATCACTGTTCACCTTTGTCAGAGAAGGGGCCAGAAACATCCACGTTGTTATATCTCTAGAACAGCTGTAACTTATCCCTGTAACCTTTGGAGAATACGCAACAATTCATTTTGTGTTAGTAACACTGCAGAATCTATTTATTTTTAAATTCATGAAAAAAAATACACCTATTTTCAGTGTCCCTTGGTGTGCACACAGCCCAAAAAGTGACAAGTTGACAGAGCCAGTACAAAAAGACTGGCTGCCCAGTCATTAGCTTCCTCTACCAAAAGCTCAAGGGAAAAAGAAATCACTGACTTCAGCATCATCCCTGCCATTAGATGGCACACCGAATGTTGTCAGTCAGAGGAAGGGGGATAGTAACTCCCTACCTGAGTCTCTAAGAAGCATGATGTAAGCTCAAGTACAAAGATTACAGGACCTGGAATTGCTGGGAGAGGACCCAAGGAGCACTTTCTCAGGACACCAGTCCCCAGGCATGTAAGATGTTAAGCACCCAGGTACCGAACAATCCGAGGATGGACCCATCTTTATGCAGCTTCCTTGATCCAATGAGCTGGCTTGCATCATGTTAACTAAGCCAGATGCTGAATCTGAGTTGTAAGAGTCCATAAGGAGCAAAATCAGTGAGAATCATTCCAGTTACTTCAAGTGCCCCTTCAAAATCAATCCTTCCAAGTTCAAGGTGACCCCATTAACTACAGACCTAAGCATTCATAACGCCCATAATCATGGGTTTCAGTCATTTACCAGGTGGGGTAAAAACCACCTAAAACATTTTTATAATCTTAAAAACCTTGCAGTGAGGAAACGAATATTTGGGCATACAGCCAAAACAATAAAATCTTGAATATTATACCATGCATATCAGCAGTACCTTGGCTGCACTCAAAATAATAACTAGATAGTTTTGTCGCTTTTAACATATCGTAACCTATTAACTTTCATCACTGTTCTGGGTAAGTAATATTACACAGGATATAACTGAAGAAATAAATATTGACACATGTTGCTGTTAAAACACTGATTGAAAACTGCAGACCAGAGCATCAGAGCGTAGCAGGGTCTCTTCAATTCCAAGATCTCCTTCTCACTTCTGATGTAAATTCTCCATCCCAAGGCTGCCTTTAATGTAAATGGGGTTTGTGTACGTGTATATTATATATATAAAAATAAGCACGCTCACGGAATAATGAGCCCTGAGAAATACACTCTTTCAGCACTCTTGTGGGAAGGTGAGGCTGCTGAACGCAGCTGTTTTCATGATTCACATCTGAAAACTAAGCTCTATGGGCCTGGCCAGGTGAAAATGCCAGGTACGCAAGGGCAGCTCGTAAATCTGCTTAGCTATTTCCTTCTGGCAATCTGCCCCCTGTCCTTTAACTTTAGTTGGGACTGGTTAAGCACCGTGCACTTCTGAAGACTGAAGACTGGGAACTACATGTCATTTCTCCTACCTATAAATAACAGCAGTCAATAAAATAAAGGCAAATAAAGGCAGTAAATGATGTTTATTTCTAGTCTTATTTTATCCCGCACATTTCTCTCAGAATTTTTTATGTGTTCCTCTAGCCAAGGCTGTCTGTGCCAATGCAACAACTGCAGCCTCCCTCCTGCCCCCTCCAGCCTGCTCATTAGCCAGTGTCTGACAGAAGCAAGCACCAGCTGCTCTACAAAAAGGCACATGAAACACTTCAGCAAGATATTATGAAATCATCTGTCTATAAGGAAGAGATTTTTTTCTTCCCCTAGTCACCATTACCTAAAGGTTGATATAAACTTTTGATTAAAAGGACGGTGTTTCTTCAGAACTTTTTTCTTGTAAGAAGTGAAAATCATAACCACATCTGGATACCCCATTTTCGACTCAAACAGCCAAAGAGTCACTGCTAATGGGGCTAACCTTGTACATGTGAGTCTTTTCCTTAGCATTTCCTGTTGTCAGGCGTCTGTAAGGCCCCACAGTTGGCAGAACAGGGACACTGGCTGTTTGGGGCTTGCATATTTGGGGCTTTATTTACATGGTATCTCATGGCAATGAGCTTCACAGGTAACTGCAGGCAGGCATAGGGTTAGTTCATTTGCTGACATACACCAGCAGAAAACACTGCATACGCTACATTATTTCTTTGGCAGCTCACATCTATCTTCAACACAATTTAATGACAAAGTTGAAAAAAAAAAATCTCTCATTAGTTGAATGCGAAATTTATAAGTGTCATCTACCTTTGGAAGCTTCTGTGCCCAGTGGATTTTCCAAGATGTCTATCATATCTTGGCTCCATGCATCCTTCACAGCAGACTTAGACACCTTCCTGTTGTTCAGGCTTTGCTGTGGTCGGAAGTTATTCCTCAGGTACTCCACAGACTTGACGTGGTCTTGTTGCTCAGTGGTGAATATGGAATAGAAAGCTTCCAGCTGACCATCATGGCAGGGGAGAGAAAGGACATTAATTAGAAAACAATGTGCTGAAATCTGGATGGCTGATAAGAGAATAAAATGGCAGGAAGTGTTGATGCCAAGACTGATAAACCCTGCAGGAAGTCAGGCTGCCCACTGAAATTACTGCCAACCTCCTTATCTCAGCACAGGACTTATCCTGCCCAACAGAAGAGGAGACCTTTGAGCAACTCATGGCTGTCTGTCATGGGCAAGGACACATTTCCCCTTAGACCTGTTGTCTGGAAGGAGTGTGAGTGTGTGACAGCCCTGCCAAGCCCTTCTCACTGTTGGCATTGCTTTGTTTTGTATTATCATGCCAAAAACGTTTCCATCCCAAGAGCTCTTTCCAGGAGATGGTGATGTTACCTTATCCCTTATGGGATGAACACCCAAATCCTGAGCTGAATGACAAGTGGAACAACCTCAGGACTCTCAGTTTTGAGCACCCTGACCTCCCTACCAGTCACTGCTCCCTCTGATACCTGCAACAGGGTGAGAAATTATAACATAACACAAAATGGGCACAGTTAGCATGTATTCCTCTGGGGGTAAGTTTTCTCAGCTGTATTCAGATTTGAGCTATTTTTAATAAAATGTATTAACCTGGAAGGAAGAACTGTAATTGGGAAACTTTTCTGTTACTTAGGATCTCAGCATTTCTTTAGAACAAAATTTCTAGCAAATTAAGATGAAAATATTTTCAGCTAATGCTGTTCTCACAGCTATCAAGGTCAGTATAGCATTTACTAATAGCTTGTTATCATTCAGGTCAAGAACCAGAATTAGTTATGTCTGCCGAAAAGGCTGAGCAAGACAGAGCAGAGAAAGATTCACTGCTGATATTGTTTACATCAACATCAATTACATATATTGATAGTACAGATTTGGAGAGTACAGAATCTGGCCCAAGACTTTAAAAAGGACTTGGATTACGCTCATGGTTTAAAGACAGGTGAGCACAACATCCTTTTCATTAAGTGTTTTTGTTCTTAAAATATAGAATAAAGCCTAAGAGTCTTGAAACTTCTAACTGGGAAAAATTATCATTGTAGCCTCAGCTGACGGTGCTGATAAAAAATAATAAAAGGAAAGAACAGCTAAGGATACTCCACTGAATCAAGAGGCACTCGCTGTCAATATTTAATTTCCCTTCAAACCAGTAAACAGAAACTTCTTTCTGCTACTCCTGTCCAGCTGGCCAGTTCTGCTGGGCTGGATGATCCTTGTTACTGGGCTGAAATATGTAAAACTTATCACGTGGGCAAACTTATCCCACGGGCAAGTGGAGTCAATTTTCACACTTTTCATTTCAAAAGTCAGTCTCCCTGGAGTGAGGATGTGTGCTGGGCTGGCTAATGGAGAAATATATGGGAATGTTATCACAGTGAGCAGTGCACGGACAGCAGGAGGGAGAAGGGACGGACCTCAGTGCGCAGATCCTGAGTTGGCTGCTCTGCACCAACACACAATACAAGGGAAATGAGCCTCATAATGGGCAGGCACTTCCAAGCTAACAGCACATCCTTGTACATTATCAGCAGCAGCTTCCCCGAGGACAACTGCTCTTATTGAACAAGCAGGGAGCCAACGCACAGGGAGAGTGGCAGCCAGCAGGAAGGCGACAGCTGGTGGCCGGCTCCATCTCAGGCAGGGGACCCAGGTATTGCTTTGAGCCTCCAGTGCATGCACTGATGGTGAGATTTGGATTGTACTTCTGCATCTGAGGTGAATGTCACATTCCCAAGCTCTCTGCTGTAATTTTCTCTGATCCTTAAGAGAAAGATGTCAAAAAAAATCTTGAAAACTCCTTGCTAATTACTAGTATGAAGTACTAAAAAGCATTGATAGATGGGTTAAAAAGTGAGGTAAAAGGATTATCTTACACTTTTGTCTTGAGAAGGAAACCTGATGATCTTGCTAAGCCCTGTGCTCCTCTATGACCTTCTAAGGAGGCACTGACCATAACCCAGTAGACATTTACTTGTGTTTTCCACTCCATGCTCGAGAACCAGTTCTGATGAAGGGAACTAATAGGTCTTTAAGTTACTCTGCAGAAGTTCATGAACTGGATAGCAACTGCTCCTTGTCAAGTCAAGGCTTACGCTTCCATGACATTAATTGAATTTTTAAACTTTCAATGAGAACTTTTAAAATATTTTCTTCTGCCACGCTACCTTGGGGAGGTATAATTGCATTTTAACAACTGCCAGTTCAAATATGATTTTTAACCTTCCCCTTTTTATGTGTTGAAGTATATATAAGTCATTTCAACTTCATTTTTACTATAAAAATATTATCTGCCGCAAATGAGACATTAATTGATCTATAGCTGCCAGGGGAAAAAAAAAAGAAAAGATGTACAGTCAAGGAGCTACACTCATGCTCTTCAAGGAGTACAAGAGCTCCTGTTCAGAAGAAGAAATCAAAAGCTGCTATAAGAGTGCTGTAGATACAGAGAAACCTGATCTAAAATTCCAAGTCATGTAATTACAAACCATTAAAGCCTGATGTGCACAGTGTTCTAAGGGCTGGATATAAAAGTGGTAATTAAAAATACTAAAACTGTTATAAGCACAATGAGATACTCTGAGGTATGCATTATGAGAGATAATGCTGTGCTTTGGGTCACTGAATGCACTTAGCTTTACAATGCATCTGCAGGGTGACACGGCTTGTCCTGTTTTGTTGTCTAATTATCGGGAGAGATGATGATGATGGAGCACCGAGAATAAAATAGAGAAGCCTCTACAAATGGACCACTTCAGAACTGTCCTTTTTACAGCAAGGTATTTTGCACAAAAGCAAGGATTTAATTGGAACAGCAACAAAGCTTAAACAATATCACTTTCCTCCTCTGGGATTACAGACTGTTTCATGGGGTTTGTGATAAAGAAGGTTAAACTGTGGCAATGGATTATACTGCACTGTTTCTGTTAGAGTAACAAATAATAATCATGGCAATGGCAGGGTCTTAAAATACACCCATCCCCAAAGCTGCCAAGTGGGAGAATGCTATTATTTATTCCACATGTGTTGTAGTATCAGTGAAAGCCTGTCTCCACGCACAACACCCAGCCCTTCAACCACACACACATGCAAAAAGCAGTGCAAGGCCAAATTGTAAAGGCTTGAGTTGGCACCGTTACCATTGTACTTCATAGGAAAGAAACGATGCCAGGATAAAGCACCTTTATACCATCGTAGGGCTTGCCAGCATTTAGCAGTTTATTTGCATTTGTTAAAACTGAAAAAGAAGAAAAAAGTGCACGACACAGCCCACTTGCAGGCAGGGGTGTACACAGGGTATAAAACTGAGTGCGGGTCAGGCCTCACAGCCACCCAATAATAAACAGTAAAGTTACTGATGCAGTGAAAAGCTACATGGGATTGCAAGTATCCTGCAGGCAAGGACAGAATTCAAAATGATCCTGACAATCAGAGAAACAGCCTGAAAAAGACAAAGAGTCTGATTCAACTGGGCCCACGTGCAGAAAGTCCCACGCTTTGCCTGCATGACCACACGATGCTCACTCAGCAGCACTGCTAGAGAGAGCTCTGGAGAAGGCATTTGCAAAAGGGTTCCTGTCAGCCATCAAAAGTGGCATGCTGCTGAGAAAAAGGCAAAGTAATGCCGGCACAGGCAGCTCAACACACGAATCTGCATGTCTCATGGTACCCAGCTGAAGCACTGAGACCTGTTTTGAACGTGGCACTTTTAAAAAGTGTGGAAAGGTCCACAGGAGAAGCAATAGGATCTAGGAAACATGAAGACAAGCCTGGAGCAGGGGCACAGCAACCACCTTCCACTCTTCTGAAATCTCTGAGACCCAACACCTTTCGGTCATGACCACTTGCTGAGCCACTTGCATAGGTATAATTCACAGAATTAGGGTATTGAAAAGCTTTGTTTTCAGTGGCTTAAGCTAGATGAATGAAAGACTAACTTCAGCAGAATGGCTTTCTAAGGACAACAATCTTAAAACATCAAAAATACACTTAACTGGTAAACACTGGACTATATTTATCCATTACTTTATCGGAAGCATTCTTCTCCAGACCAATCCCAGACATGGGGTCTGTCTGCATTAAAACCTGCTATGTGCTAATTTTAAGGATTTGTGTACCAGTTCTCTAAGCACATAATGGCAGCTTTACTGTGTTGGAAAAACAGTTAAGCACGGAGAATTAATGGAAACACGTCTTTTCTAATGTAATTAGTTCAAATTACTAAATCTGAGCAGAACTGAAATAATTCACTTTACTTTGAAAAGAAAGTTTCAATTAAAAAGAATAAAAAGGAGCAGCATGTAAATATTTACACCATAGCTTAATTTAATCTTAACAAAAACAACACCAAATAAATCACTGAGAGGAAACTAGGTTTCACGTTATGCTGTCTCCTTAAGACTGATGGCTCTTGCTCAGAAACAATATTACTAAAAAAATAATTCACCAACACTTCCCGTTACGTCAGCAGAAATTTTTGTGTTCACAGCATTAAAACATGGGGTTTGGAAAGAGGGTAAATCAAGAACCTGCTTTCAGCTGGGGGGGGGGGGGGGTTGGACCCCGTGATCTTCAGAGGTCCCTTCCAACCCTTATGATTCTAAGAGATGTCGCTGATGAATTAAACATACCTGATGGTAGGAAATGGGAACGGGCTTCCGGAAAACGATCCACTCCACGATCTCACTGCAGGGAGGAGTGGTCAGGGAACCTGTATAGCGGTAGTAACTCCCCAGCGATGTTGGCAGCAGGTCCCTGAGCACAAAGGGATCCAGGAAGGTCTCTTTCTCTGTGGGGGAGTTCGACAAGCAAAATTACACTTTTTATTTTATTTTATTTAAAACATGTCTTTAAAACAGACATCACATTGATAGGCAGCCTAGGAAAGTGTAAGGGCAACAACACATTTTATCATATATATGTAATGAAAGATAGAAGCAGCCTATCAGGAGCACCCTGTAAGAGTTGATATGTTGATTACTAAAAGAGCAGCCAGAATGCCAGTCAATCCTATATACGCCTATTCAGAATGCATGCAGGTGTGAAAAGCCCTTGCTATCTCTATGCTTTCTGCAAGCACTGAAATAACACTGTATTCAGCGGTTTCAACACTCCGTGAATTTCTCTTCAGCTTGATGGTGGTGCAGGTATGCCACAGCTCTACTGGGACAAAGCTGGGCCCCAGGGGTCCCCTCTTTGCACTCAAGGCTGGATGCAGTCAGCACAGCACCGTAAGAACATTTCAGAGGTAAAAATGCTCTCCCCTCTAATCCAAGAAACAACCTGTGGAGTCCAGCAGGCTGAGGGATGAGCTCCTTCCAGTAACAGTAGCAAACTGGTGGTATTTAACAAGGTGAAGGTAAATAAATAAATGAAAGGAGGGAACAGCTGCAGGCAAGACAATTTCCTTGCCATCCCTTTGCATTTATCCTCCACACTTTATGCTGACTCACTCCCTCTCAATCTGTGCAAAGGTGTTCACTGCCTCAGGGCACACTGACACGTGAGGCTCTCCCATACATCTCTATTCCTCACTTTCTATATTCTTACAAACAAAAGCCAGTTCACGTTGCAGCAACTTTCCACCTTGTCGGACCCGCTGGGCAGCTGATCTGATCAAGTGCCTGATTCACTGGGTAGCAATCCTGCCCACAGGGCAGCAAGGTTGGAACTGGATGGTCTTTGAGATCCCTTCCAACCCAAGCCATTCTATGATTCTATGATCATATTCTCCTGCACATTATCAACCACTTTGCAAAGTTCCAAAATGAGTAATTCTATGAAAGTCAAAGTATACCGCTTTGTAACAGAGCGCTGCAATATCTTCATTAACCATTTCTTTCCTTCTAATTCGAGCAGATACCAACAACTTCTGCAGCCTCAGAAAGGAAGCAAGTGAAGAATAAAACATCTTTTCACAGCACACCTTCAGAGAAGTGTGTGCTCAGGTAATAAATAGTAAAATATACATGATTGGCCAAAGTTCAAAGAGAACTAATCAAGAAATCATAATCACAGCAAAAGGTCGCATTTAATTTGATTTCCAATTAAAAACGCATTGGTTTATTTTTATACAGGAAAAATTGGTCTGAAAAATTGCAAACTCAGTCAGAGGATTTGATTTTCAAACTTCAGCACAGATGCAGCTTCACAGCAAAATGAAGTGTTTTGTATTTCAGAAGCTCTCTCTGTGGAAGCTGAGCACAGAGTGGGTGCTATGAATCCAAAAGTATTTGAACATGCAAACATCCTTTTTGTGCTAACAGCCAGTGACTATAAATGAAATAGATGGGAGAGGTACAGGCACATTTTGAAAAGAGAAAAGAGAAAATTGAAAACCCTTGCATTCTTGTTTATTGGAAGATTTATGAAATAACGCTGTGGTTATAATTAACAACTTAGCTATTTTTAACTTGGATAACCTCTTATTTAGAGCGATGGAAATACCCGAGATGCTGGACAAACACTCTCTGTAAAAGCAAGAATGCAGAGTATCCCTTTATCAAAGGGTGACAGGAGAACGAGGCTCATTTTACACTCTCAAAGATTTTTGTGCCATATGCTGACAATATTATATTTTAATAATTAATTGTTCATCAAAGGAAAAGATGAAGAACAGGGATGCTAAATTCAAAGTTATTCAAATTGCAAAAATGAATAATGCATGACTTTTATATTAAATACACACTGTATTAAGTAGTCTACATTTCATCCAACTCTGTCTTTCATTTTTAAACATTTTGAACTACAATATGAATAATCAACCAAGGGAAGCTTATTTAGACAGAGAAATATCTTATTTGAATGCAAACTGGAAGTATCCGACTATGATTAAATTTTAGTTATCAATTAGGTAGATTTTTTTTCCTAAGCATTTGGAAACTCACAGTCAGCTACGAGGAAGGGCATTTCTTGCGGAAAACGTAGCTTTGCTGAAGCACAGCTTTAAGTAGGACAGGGTGTACTCTCATTTTTCATGGCTACGAGCAATGCTGTAGGTTATTGTTAATGAATTCCGAAGATTAAAATAAAAAAACACCTATAATTGGATTACCGTGACTTTTAAAATAGATGATAATCAATTGTTTATGGTTTAATAACCCAGCACATTTGAAAACAGATCATTAATTACTATCTCCTCCACCTAGATGCATGGTGCAGCTTTAGAATCCGGAGTCACAAGCATCTTCATGCCAAGCTTACAAAACAAGTGACTTAGAGACTCAGGACTCTTTCTCCCATACAATATGAAAACAGGAAATGCCATGAAGTTGTGTTCCTGAGAGCCTGAAACAGTTTTGAAATGAGATTTGAAAATCAAGTCACTTAACATTCCAGCCTCACATTGCTGATGATTGTTAGTAAATCTGTAAAAAGAATCACCTGCGAGCCACACCACAGTATTCACTAACATGGTTATTCACACATACTTACATATGTGTATATGTGCATATATAGCATTCCTACTAACTGTGAAGTTGGAAAAAACATCCACTTTTGTCAGTGCCTTACATGAGCAGCTCCTGTTTCCTTTTCTCTGCTGGGACAGGCAGAGATTTTGCCCAGACAGCTGGGAGCAGACTGGGCAGGGTGAGAAGTTCATTGAGGGAAGAAGCCAGACAAGGCTGGGAACCACACAACCTTCTATGTGAGGAGAATTAAAAAAAACACAACACTACAACAATAAAAACAATCTGGCGTTTGCTGACAGGTACAAAGAAAAGAACTGGCAGACAAAAGCAATAAAACACATCAGTGATAACATCTGTGTTCACCTGCAAATAACCTGCAAACAGCGCGATGAATCCTGCAAAACCCACTTGTGAGCCAATGAAGAACCCCACACCTGCATGGTCTCCACTGCTCCCTGCCCTGCTCCATCCAGAGCACAGAAAAACAAGTAGGAAATGGGAGCCCTGGGGTCTGACCGTAACCACAGAGCCTCAAACTGCAGAGCCACCACCACGCTGGGCAGCCTGGGAAGGAGCAGCACCAGGAACACCATGGAGCTCCTCTGATCCGTACATCCAATTTCATTGGCAATTAACAAGGGATGAGTTGACAATGGCAGCACCAAGGCTTGTAAAGAAGTGTTCACTCTAATACTTCCCAAGGAAAAATTAACCAAGTGCCACATACGCATTGTTGACAATTAAGACAATGTGCTATTTAAACTACTGAGCATTCCACAGCATAAAGGGACAATATGGTGCTTTAACTCTCACATTCACAAAGTGCTATTAACAGTTTTAGCTTGTGTCTTCTGATACAATGTTCCTGTCCATTTTTTGGTCTTCCTCCTTTAAAAACAATGCATATTCTGCTTCCACATTTGTCTGCAAACCAACAGGAAAGCTTACATCTGAGTTTTTATTTGACACTAATACAGTAGGAAACATATATTTACGTGACACATACAAACTTTCTTCAGCCAATTTAGCTGTGGAAACAGAAGACAAAAATACAGGACTAAACAACCCCAGATAATGTCTGGATGGCCACGTACCTGCGTCAACATCAGGTGCAGTCTTTCAACACTATTTTTGTTTACTAGACAAGAAACACTCTTCATTGTCTTCAATTCTGTATCATCAGTCAGTAGTGCTCAGTATATTCTTTGAGCTAGTAAATCTCCCTACCTTTTTTGCATGGGACCAAGGGCCATTTTTTGTACAACCGACCCAAAGCCACAGCAACTGCAGGCACGCTTTAAGGAGCTGACCTATTTACACTCCAGATTTGTTAAAGCATGTGAACAAATACTGAGCTGTGCACAATAGTTTTCATAGCAGAGGAAAAATCAGATGTTGAAACCAATACTGGTGGTAGATACCCACCAGCTACTGCAGTTTTCAGAAGCTGATGCCAACAAATACTATATTAGAACAGCTATCAGTTGAATGTTTTGACTTCAAGGACTGACTTGCTAAAAATAAATTCTCTGAAATGCTGGAAGAAGATCGCCCTGAATTTTAACTGAATCACTGTGCAATAGAAATGTTCTTGAGATATGCAGGTAAACAGCATCACAACTATCTGTGATCAAACCTCCTTTCAAATCCAACAGGAACTTGGATTGGAGATCAGAAGAAAATAGCTACATGCCAAGTCCATTTATATCTCATGGAATGCTTTGGACTTTCATCGTGCTTTTCTGTAAGAAAACAGGAACTTGGCTGCATTGGAAACAATATCTTAAAATGAGCTTATTTCCAAGATTAATGTATGTGCAGTGCCTGATAGGTGGAAACGTTACCCAGCTACACTTTGAATAACTGCAAATAATCTGCAGTACCAGTTAGAAGAGCTTTGAAAGTCTCCCAAATTTGTCAAACATTGTTACTGCCAATTTCATTTTTACCCTAATGAGCCAAGTCATTCTAAAGCCTCTGCATTCAAACATTTAAAAAACAAACACACAGAAATAATCCAAAGGACAGCACGCCATACACCCACCAAGCCAGAACTTCCAAGATAAAGCAGGCTGCACACCAGAGACAGGGAACAGACTAGCTGTGGTGATGTTCAAGATAAGATTACAACTATTATACGTTACTTTAACTGAAAAGATCTTCAAATGAGCACTCGCTGTGTAAATCCAGCATGCAGAGCAGTTTCTGACAGTCCTTTGTACTCAGTGTAATTCTTGTAGCTTATTGTGTAACTATTACTCTCATTTCTATTTTTTTTTTAAAGGCTAGAGCATCTGCTGAACAATGCAAAGAAGCATAAGGACACATAAAGCAAAGCATTGCTGGGAGGAAGGGAATGAGATAATAACACTCTCCT